AGCGAGTCGACAGGCTTTCGAAAATACAGGTGGTCCTGTAGTCGAGATGTGATGTGTAACATTGCTGGTTACAGAAGGCAATTTCGATTGCGATTGGTATATCCTGGGGTATTTGTCGAGTACTGATTGGTACAAGGGGTCAATGGTGTGCTTAATCGTGACTGGGGATAACCTGCAACCAGAACAAGGAGTTACGCTAACAGATAACTTAGTGTTTCCGTCTATTAACTTTCGTGAGCGTGTGTCGATTAGTAGATTGTGGTGCTGTAACAGATCTATACCAATGATTGGCATAGAGACATCTGCAATCACGAAAATCCAGTGTATGGGTTTGCGTAAACCCACGTTAAGGTAGACGTACCTTTTACCGTAAGTAGCGATCGGCTTTCCGTTTGCCGCCTGTAAACTTAAAACAAACTCGCGAAGTCTGTCGTCGGGATTTGCTGGAAGAACGCTAACTTCTGCACCAGTGTCGACGAGGTAGCGAACTTTCGTTGTCACGTCTATGACGTATAACAGACGGCTGTGTTCGCCGGCTGGGAAGTTTCCCGAACTGTTTTTCGTATCACTCGATTTTGGGGTCGGATAATTGCAGGGCTTCCTGCAATTTCTAGAGAATTTACAGTACTGGTTGTGATACCAGCACCAGTCGGGGTTGTCTGTCTCTCGTGGTCGAGAGACAGGGAGTTTAGACAAGAAAATTGTCTAAATAGGCCATCATCGAAAGTTCGTTGGCCGATGACTTCTCTCATTCTAAGCAACATGTCCGTCGCAGAACCATGTTACAAGTCGATATTGTTGAGGAGTTGGTCTAACCGTTGTCGATCAGTTAGGTCTCCTCGTTTTAAAATCGATAGCTTAAGCTTTTCGTAAGGTTCGGGAACATCACTAGTAAACATACTAGGTGTTACGTACCTGTTAAACTCGCGCGGTAACGCCTTAACTACTGAGAGGAAACGTGTGCGCGAGTCCGTGATTCCGTGCATGCAAAAATCGGCTTCTGCATAGCAGAACCAGGACTCGATATTGTCGGGCCAAAATGGCGTTAACTGAATCGAAATAGGGGGAATAGACTTAAACTTAAGAACCTTGGGTGAGTGTTCCGTCATAGTAATAGAGATAACGAAAAATGTCTAATTAAAATCTATCCGAGAAAAAAAATTCGCGAAAAAACAGTATATCACAATATATAAAATTCAAATAAAGAATAACAATGAATAATAATATTCCAAAATGGAACAGATTCACAGTATATTGACTTGGTGTACCAGATCACGTCGGGCTCACCACTGAGGATATAAACGGATATTCTAGTTTGGCAACTAGCAACCAGTAGCATCTTCTATAATCGTTCTTTTCCAGTCGAATAGAAACCAGAAATCAGACGAGGAGAGGTAGGAAAGATATATTTGATACGTTACCAATATATCGAGGAACCTTTACTATAAGCTGGCTAATGAACGTAGGAGCTGTGTCCCACGCCGTGTTGCAACGTGATCAGGTACGGATGCATGACCGAAAGCCTTCAGTTAAACAAGTCCACTTAAACAACGTGATCAGCATCCAATGTCGAACACTTAATGAGCTATTGATTTTGGGGAATTATTTACAGCTACAGCAGCTTGTTTCTGAAATTCGATCATAAACTATCTAAGCTTCAGATTATTCTGATTAACGGTTGTATGAGATTTTGCCTCTTTACAGTATTCAAATTTTGCATACTTTACATGAATTATTAGTAGTTGCTTGGGAGTTTTGTAGGGAAGTGAAACAGATTTATCTGAAAACGCAAAATTATGTAGCAAGCTATTTGCATCCTTTCCTATTCATGTAAGTAAATGGGCTGTGGATTCGTCATACTTAGCATTTTTTCATGGTCATACTCCAGATTTCAAACTTTACCATTTAATCGCAGACATCTTCAGGATTTGAATGTATATCTAACTGTTCAAACAGAAACTTCATCGTGACGAAAATAAGACGGTAGTCAAATTGACTTGCTAACTGAGAATTACTAGAACATTCCAACTTAAGTCGAATAGAAATAGATGAATTCAAGTAGATGTACGATATTAAGAACGATATTTACGAAAATGAGTGCAGTATACGTGAATGGATAATTTGGTCATCATGTTTCAAGGACAGCCGATAAGTACGGTGTACAACTATTAAGAATTCAAAAAAAAGTACGTCCGTGCGTGAAATGAGGTCAATGCAACAGTTGTCAAAACAAACGATAACATATTCCAAATATGATCTGTGTAACGCATTATAAGCCTCTTGCTACCACCTTCACTTTTGTTTTTTGAACTGCTTTTATCCCACTCTATTACTGATTATAATCAGTTTCATTATTATCAGTTACATTATAAAGACAAGAACTTTTCGTAAAATTTTCTAGCGTTTTGTAAAATAAACAAAGGCATTCCTAGAAGGCACTTTTTGGTAAACCGAAAAAGAACCATTTTCTGGTAGATCCCAAACCTATTCTTGATATGCTGATTGGTTTGATCAGCGATGTAATTAACCACGTATGCTAGTCTGAGACCCGTTAAATGGGCTAAAGCACTTAAAATACTAAACGACCATCTTAACGTTTAATTCCAGAACTACAAATTTCCACTTTATTCAGTTCTTAATAATGGAAAAAGTGGATTTCCAGAAGCCCTAGTTGGTGACGGCAATTAAATTGATGACCAAATAGAGTATTTTATAACTTGGAAGAATCTGTTAGATGATAGGTTACGTTTAAATCTACTATGGGTGTGCGAAGAGCAGTAATGTTATCGCGGGACGAATATTGGGAAAGTTGAAACATTTAGAGATATCCTTCGGATTGTTAATAATGTCATTTATATCTTTACTGTATCATTAGCAGACTTTATTGTCACATTTCTAAGTTCTCATTCTTGTGAGCCTTCAATGTTTTTTTTGAATGTTGTTATACGTAACAATCCCCTGGTTATCGCTATCTAATTGTGTTTTGTCAGCTTCGACCTATACCACTTATATTATAATTGTACTTGAAGTGCTACTTGGCTAGACATTTTCAGCATATTCTCGAAGGAGTCTTGAGTAATAGTCGAATTAGGGTCATTAAAGGACTAGTCTGCCAATTACGAATGTTTTTTGACTTGCCACTAGGTTAGAAAGGGCCTTCAGGACCAACAGGCGTTAAGGCCTTGGTTTTCGCTCATTAGCCAGTGTACAAGTAGGTGAAATATGTCAGCGGTTCGATTGGCAACACAGTATGCGGTATGGATCAGAAATCGCAAACCCTAAGAACTCCGCAGTGTCCTCGAAATATGAAAGGTAAAGCATCTTCTTAGGAAAGTTTCGTCTTTAGAAAGCTATTTACTCTTTCATATGTTAACTTAAAACCAATTGTTATGTCTCGTCATCATCTAGCCTTCTTCAGAATGTATGGAACTACCCAAAAAGTCTATTCGTAAATTGAACAATGATGAGATGTTTTATCTTTCATCTGCAATCAAGTAGCTGCGAAGTTTGGTCAGCTTCATAGTCAGAGTTGTCTCTGACTAACGTAAACACGTCAAAAATAGATAAAGAGCTTATCTAGATGGACTCGTGATCTGTGTAAACTGTGAAGAACCTTTTGATTGTTTGAGTTGATGTTTTAGCTTTTTAGCATCAACAGCTCAAACACATTCATTGAACATTATTTCGCCACAGAAAAAGATTTTATCTATCCAATTTCGCTAAAGATTTATTCCTAGATTTATGCAATAGTTTTACTACGCTATATACTTATATAACACGGTAAATACTAGCTGAGAACTGATTTCATAGGAATACGGAACGAGTTCATTTCAAGTTATGACTAAAATCTTATGTCTCTTTTTATTTTTCACATGTAGTAAATGAAAACTTAGGAATTAAAACCTTCGAAATTCTATATAAATTTGAAACAGCTTATTATAATACCAACTATATATGAGGAATGGCAAAATTATCGACGTGGCAATAAATAAAAAGACCAAACTTGAGGTTTTAAAAAGTATTCGGACTTTTGAATTCAACAACAAAGTTCATGATAATCATCTGAATACTAATAGTTGTGTAATAATTGTAGAATATCCATCGTCGTTTGTCGATTTAGTATATTTCGATGACTAACAATAATAATTAATTGATGGATGTTTACTTCAGATGAAAAGGATTAGAATCTCAATTACCAGACTATTTCTTCTCCAAAAATTATTTCATAGAACTTGTTATACATTGTTTGACTAACAAAAATTATGTGAAACTAACTGTTTGCATATAATCGCAATCCAAAAAGAACGACTACAAGACAAATATACTTATAGCAACTATGTGGAAATTGCCTTTGGTGAATACCTATATGTACAGTTTCAGCTCAACCTTCGACTTGTTAACAAGCTGACTCATCTTTTGATTTTAATGTTTCAAATAATGTTTGATAAGGCGCTTATTATTACGAAACCCCAAAATGCCCTGGTACGACCGAGAGTAGGGAAAGTCCGCTCTCCCTCTCAAAATGCTCTCACATGGCCACGCGTATATAGCCTCTGCCAGGAAAGTTCTACTCACTGTCTTCTCGTGGCAGGCGTGTTGTTTACGAAATTGGGAGGACGGAAAGCGCATGTTTAGCGCTTTGACCGGCTTGGTGGACACGGAAAGTCCACCGAGGGAAGTTGGAAAACCCTTATTCCAAACAAATGGTGCACATGAGCTTCAGTAACCTGAGGAAACAAATGGCGTATGACCCAATCGTTGATCACCGGCTACCATGGGACTGTATTTCCTTACGATGCTCCACTGCCTTATGGATCGGACCTTTAGGTCGAAAGCTCCGGGTGTGGCCCCCTAAGCAAACCACCTGCTTCGGTTAATGCACCCGGGAAGTATTACAGCCCTCAAATAAATCAAATGAGATTTGTGTGGCGCATATATATCTGGTGCATCCTTGTACCAATATCTATGTGTTCAAATAAATAAGTAAATAAATATGATTTTGAATGACCCAAGATTATTGAGATAAATAGTTGTTAATTCAATAATTGGTACTGGTAATTGTTACATATTTAAATATTTGTTATTACTTTAGACAACAAAATTAAACAGCCCCTATTGTCAAATTGATTCAATGAACAGCTGGTTTGATACTTTAAAAAAATTAAAACCTTTGAAACTAAACTATAATAGAATATTTAGATTTGGTGGATTTATTCAAAGTAATAAAGGAAGAAGATTAGCTGCTTGTAAACTAATTTAGATCCTTTGAAGTTAATGTTCATTCAATTGATCGATATAACATACAAATACTTAAACTCATCCGCCTGAAATTAAATTAAGTTTGAATTTCGATCAAATTGAACAGAGCATAATAAAGCTTATTTAAACCAAATTTACAAATCAGAAAACAACTTGTTTGAATTTGTTTATTTGAAGTAAGTAACATTGGTCATTAGATATCTGATCCACATTCTTAGTTGTTGACATCTACTAAAATGATCGTTGAGATCAAAATAGGTCAGATTTCATAAAGAATAGCGAACAGAAAAAATTTTGGGAACACATTGTAACTAATTGTTTAACAAAAAAAAGAATGAAATGAAGTCCTTTTGAGAGAATGTAAACATGTGTAAAGTAATAATTTAATGACATAAGGCTGTGTTTAGCTGAAAACCATTAATGTTATTTAAATATTAATTTAGAGCATATATTGCACATATAGATTAAAGGAATAAATTATTCTTCGAAGCACTTTTTTAAAATTCTGAATGCTTGTGCTGATTGTATCTGTTTGAATGATTTCAAGTAGATATGAGAACCAATTAACTTTTTCTATTCTAAATGATCCTTGGATAAAGATTTATTCTTGAATTACTATCTTTTGTGTTATACGTTTCTTTAATTCTATGAATTGTACAAGAATTGTGCGCTTTATTAACGATTGAAGAGTTTTCAACGCAATCGTCTTCATCATAGATGATTTGTTTCTCATCTGAGAAACTTATAGTATTGCTTTTTCGCAGTTTTATAGTTTCATTTCGTGATTGTGCCTGGATTGTATTTGATAAATGACTTACATAACCAGTATGAATGCTACCATCTTGATAAGTTTCTGAATAATCTGTTGAACACTGATATGTAGGTGGTAAGCTTCCAATTTGAAAACTGTTTGGCCACTGCATAAAAAACACTGAACTCATTAACGGACCTTTAAACAAGATGTAAAGTGGTTTATCAAGTTTTTATATGGCAAACACTGAACTATAAATAAAATTCAGTGTATGTATGATATTGAATCTTTTGTTACTGTACACAAATTATGAGCATGAAAATGAAAATCCCCATTATGACATTTATTTAAAAGAATGAATAGAGCAAAGCAATGTCGTTTCAACCAGCGTTACAGTTCCTATATGATGCTACTTAAGAAATTGTAACTCAGTGGTTAAGAAAGGCGGTGAAGAAAACATTTACTACAGATAGACTGAATGTGGTTTTCTGTTACCATTCGATAATACAAACCACCAATAAAGACAGATTGCTTGAATTCGTTACATACATATGTATTTACCAATTCATCTGCTCCTTTGGAGCCAGCTATATAGTGCTTACATTTAGCAAGTCCATTATCGTATAACAAAACACCATCCATCTTGGTTGAGCAAAGGATAGATAAAAGTGATTTCGAGTTATATTCTCGCTTATTCGGTGAACAAAGGTCATTAATTTGACTTGAATAGAGAGTCCAAGGTTTTCCAACATGTTCCATCAAGGTTACCACATGATATACGAGTTTATCTGTTGCATATTCTTGAAGCTATCGGGATCCATATTCACAAACTAACTTTTGGATCCAAAAGAAGTTTCTTCAACTACTCACTCCACCCTGGTCATCCGTATTGGATTTTGGTATTTAGCTGAACTTTAATTAAACTCTTTCCTTCAAAAATATTTAAATAATGTTCTAATTTCTAATACTTCTGTATTTTTACATATTTTCAACATTCATCTCCTGATTATTAAACACCTACTATATTACCGACCTTTTATGTAAATATTATGTTAGTTCTTTTTATATATTATATGTGATAACTGTTTGATTTCCTGAGTAAATATTTTGATTGTTACAATCCTCTTTCTTTCAACCACTCGATATTATTTCATAATCAAGGTGGAATTATATAATTGTTACGTAACACAACGGCTCGACACAAGTTATTTCATCATTGTAAATCAGACATAAATATTAGAGTAAGGCCGGGATGAAAAACTAACTGACAAGAAATTTCTTATCTCTACATGTCCTTTCTATAAGCATTGGATATTTCAGAAAGTTATGGAAAATGCTATCCAAACTAAAAGTTTTCATGATATCCTCAATGATGTAGATGGTTCCACAGTAAAATAACACAGATTTTAAAATTTTTCAAATGTCTATTTTGTTAACCGCTTGTGACTTGGCATATATAAGCTTTTTTCGTCAAATATAACACATGCAAACATAAACTAATCACCCTGGCCTTGGAATCACACTATCTGAATTATATATTGGAGTGTAATATCTAAAACGCTCAAGTTAGTTGTCAAAAAGCTATTTAATCACTAGACGGCCTGCTTGAATATCTGGGCTACCTGTTCCTGCCATCTAGATATTCCAACAAGTTATCTGTTCTCTTGTTTGTTTTAACACATCATTATGCCTATTATTCACATAAACTATTCAGGTGCGTTTGTGAGAAGTTGAAAACATTTTGCTGTACAAGTTACAAAAAAACCCAATCTGAGACATCGTGGTTGCTGGCCATATGCATAGAAAAGAATATACATTATTCACATATCGATTCCTGAACTGCTAACATCTAACTGGCGGCCACTCAGTATTTATCGCAATGATTGATCAAGAAATAAGAAAGGGGAACTTGTTGAAATAATTTGCGTTGAGAATCCTATATTATACCAAAAATATAATATTGAATAAAGCCACTAATAATAAATAAAATAATAAAAAAAGATAATTAGTCACATATAAAGAACGAACGTTCAAGACTGAAAGAAAGTACAACTATTAGTTCATTTACTAGTTCTGTGACATCAATGAATACAGTTTTATACTAATCTAGATTTGGATTTCTGATCTACCAGTTCTCCGAAGGTTGTAGATCATCAATGTGGTTCAGAATCTACAGGAAGAAGTTTCTCTTTAGAGCTTTCTGTGAAATGTAATATAGCATCTACATTGTTAAAAAGATTCCGGTCGTAATATACTCAGTGGCTTATTTGGTAGAAAATGTTCCAAAAGTCCTGGTTTCAAATCCCGTGTGAGGGGTCATAAGTGCATACTACTGGAGAACCTCATACTAGGATGTAACAGTCGTCCAGTGCTTCCAGGTCTTCAATGGTGGTCCAACATTGATTGATTCGTGATTTCAATCAGAAAAGTTTTCTTTACCAGTCAATGTTTTTTCATTCTTTTTAACTTATGAGCAGATATTATTCATTTAAAGACTATGAAAGATAACCAAGTTATCTAAATTCTACTTATATCAACTGATTATGTTGGACACATAGAATTAGGGAGCTCTAGTTAACCAAATATATAAGTTTTTTTTAAAGGATACAACTTTCCAGATGATATTACATAAATAAATGTCAATTTTCATCGAATAACAAGTACCCATAATATTATATTTCAAAATTATAACCTAATTCTCACAAATCCTGACCATGTTTTTCATGACAGCCAAGTATTACCAATGTCAAATATATATAAATATGTGTACAAGTTTGAATATTCAAATGTATAAAAAAGTATCATATTACACTTCATATTTGAGGGCTTTCGTTTATGTAGGTGTAGACATAAGTGTAGTAATCTGTATTATTTTACAAAGAAACCATGTGTCATTATAAGTAGGGCGAATTCTGTCATTTCGTTTGTTTAAGGATAAATTTTAGAAAGAATATATTTGACTAAAAGGAACTGAAAACTATTAAAGATCTTGCTTTAATTTACTGAAATTCGATGACAAATGGCTAAATGGATAAACATTATTTACGGGCAAATCTCGTGATCTTTAAATTATTTTCAGACTGTGTGATGAAAGTTACACGTTTTTATGTGCCAGATATAAAGATCAAAAAGCGTTTGATATTACCAGAGAACTGTTTGGGTTAATATTCTAAGTTCAATAAGAGAGCTAACCAGGGAATTCTCCCATGTTGTTTATTGTTATGTCTAAAAATTTCATGGTGATACATCTACAATACATTTAACGTAGTATATAATGAACTAAAGTGAAGTTAAAACAAGGCTATCAGTTGAAAATTGCAACTCACATGCAGTTTGTTGTGATTCTATTTGATTGTAAGACTCTATTTGTCGGTCAGTTGTTCCAACAATAATCGGAATGGGCAGCAAAAGATCGTGGTGAATACGAGCAAACCGTTTGAACTCCTTATCTTTACCTCGTTTGCATTGTTGAAATGTAATAATTTGAGGTTTCTTCGACATTAGTTCATATGTACCATTGCTACTGCTACATGTTTCATGCATATAAACAAATTCCATGAATTTATCTGGTTTAACAGAAGCAACATCATTCTCTAAAATCCATTTAGTGACTTTCAATGGATGTTTTAATTTTTTCAGTTTAAAACTAACAAGTCCTAGGCTGTATGCAACGTCTATACATGAACAACCTTCTAAACCCGTTGGTGGTAACGAAGGTATGTGAAATGTATGCTCTAACGCAACTCTTAATAAATGTTTTTCAGACGTAGGACGCTTTCTCATTTCGCCACTGTAAACATCTCTTTCTTCTTGAGCAATAACACGATGAGTCCAATCCCGATAAGTTATTACCTGAGGAAAAAAGGAACTAAATTTATATATATTGAAATTGTCTGAACTACATTGTAAACCTGTAAGAAATTTGTTGGGTGGATTCACAAATCACAAATTCATAGTAATCTTGAGTTGAAATTGAAGTATTGTCGTTCGTTATGATGTGTATTAATACTGTACATACTTTGCAGAAATTAATGTTCCTAACATGATTTCCAGCTTAACTGATTTGTAATTCAGAAAAAGAATGAGTTTTTAACCGTTTTGTATGACTTGAATTTATTACGTTTGTTAATTTTAAGATATTTATTGAAGAAATGTTTCTTCGATTATGTTTAAGCTGAAATCAGTCTGAAGAATCAGACGCTTTTGCAAAACATCCTATTTGGTTACTATTAAAGGTTAATTAATGACTTAATTCTAGATGGGTGCGTAAAGTATGAAGTTGTGGCACATAAAATCTATTTTTATTAGAAATGAACCAGGTATAACCAATGACATTAGACGATCATTGTGTTACTCTAAGAATCAAATGAAATTAAGAGTATGAATTACTGGATTCTCAATGTGATGTGTGCGCTAATAATGAGGACGGATATAAGAAGTGTGTAGCAGGAGTTGAAAGTGGAATGCTTACCAGTAGAAGATTGAAACAGATAGAATAAAAGACAACAGGGGAAGATCAGAATAACAACGGGATTAAAAGAATAATAGAGTGTGTAAAGAACTACTCGAGGAAGATATGCAGATGATATTTTACATGCATGATTTTCCCAATCAAGTCTTCCTTCACTACATTAGTCAGTGATCTTTAAGAGTAGTTCTTATCAAACGAACTAAATGTTTCAGGCTTTGTACATGATGAACTGTTGTTTACACATTAGTGAAGAAATCAATACTACGATAAATTGGTTTAATCCTCGTTAGTCTTCAATATTTCCCCAAACCTTACGACCCAATAATGGAATTCAATTTAAATAGCCCGTAAGGACCTTATTTTCAAAATATAGTGTTAGGGATCGGCTATCAAATAGACAGTATATTTTCTAAGATTTAGTACTAGACATTCTTCTATGGCATTTTTTTCAACTATATACATATCTGGAAAAAATGAGTAATCGACTAAACCAAGATACGGTTTATAAACGCACCGTCTCAATGATAGCATTTGTACTGTACTCTACTTCATTCGTTCATGGAAGATTTCAATACTGTTATCAATGATGTAAACATCATTCTAATAAATACTACTGACTATAATTGAAACAAGTTCAATTCATATTATTTGTAGAGGTCAATATATCTAATAGCTTGTAAAGTGAATTGTACCGTTATTCTACCTAAATATGGGTTCATTATGTTCATTAATCAATAATTTTTATCAGAACATTGAACAATGGATTTTAAAATAATGACCAATAAACAGCTGGTTTATCGATATTTTTCTTTTGCAAAAAAATATTTTTGCAAACTAAAACCGAAATGGTTACTTATCAGTTAATTTATTCAACATTTTTATTTTATAAAAAGAAAATAAATTAATTTTATATAATTGAGATCATGAGTCAATTGAAGCTAGGCCACCATGGAAAACCTGGGAGTACTGGACTCACGATCTCAACTATATAATATTACTAAAATCTCCTCGAAACCCTCTTCTGAAAATAAATTCAGACAAATTATTTTCTACAACTTTTGGTTGAAGGTGAACTAAATGCTCTAGAGCTTGATGATTCAGAGTTGATATTGTTTATAACCGCCAATAGCATAAACTTAAACTAGATACAGGTCTCATATATAAATTTTACATACCTGACGTAGTACTAAAAATATTCTGTGTGGTTGTTTAACATATCCTGACCACCATATACCATTAAGTTGTTGACTCTCGTTACTAAACTTTTGCCGTATACAGTCTTCTAAATAATACGAAACAAATGCTCTTGCCAACGGACTCCATAAATCTTTTTTACATGAATTAATATTTGTATTAAATTTTGCGCACCAATTCAAATCATTCGACATACCATTTAATGATGGAGCTAGCAGAAGCGCAAACGGATCTTCTACCAGTAAACTTAAACATGCTGTCAATCGACTGCCTGGATTAAGTTGACGTTGACTGACAGTTAATCTGCAAGAAATTGGATAGCCTGTTTGAGCTCCAAGACATGTAGTTGGATATATTGCATGAGATGAAACGTATGATTGAGAAATCCATGTAGAAGGTAATGGATATGGATTATCACTGCATCGTTGTACAGTTAATGTTGTTTTACTTAATGAATTATATAGTGTCCTTTTCATTTTCATGGTACGATTAAAATGGGGTTTACATAATGATTGCATGCTATTATTATTTTGATCATTTTCACCATTTGGGTATAGATTCTCATCTTCTGTTGATTGCATAGAATTTAAATATGGATTACTTTGATGCGAATCATTTAAACAAGAACTCAATGAATATTTAGTTAATTTAGTCGTATCATCTAGATCAGTGTTAGAGTAACCACTCTGACCTAACGATGATAAATGATCTGGTATGTAATCATTTGTAAAAGTGGAATCTAACACTGAATTTTTCTCAATTAACTTTTCCTCACTGTTATCATATTCATCTAGAATATTTTCCGTTTCTTTTTTACATAAATTTGATAATCGTGAACATGTTCTTGATAAGTTTGTAAATTTCACTGTGTTGCTACCAGATGATATGAATTGATCAAAACTGCTCACATAATTTCTAGTAATTGGAGGACAAGCTAATGTACTCGGAATCACCTATAAGTTGTGCAAAAAAAACATAATTAAAGAAAGACTATTCTTTCATGGCAGCAAATTGATTAAATTCAGTGAATAAAGCTGATCAATACGATGCAGTTTTCAACACTATTCAAGTGATCTGGACAAATTCCTCACCGATTTTGACCAATCACAAAAGAAAATGTGAGCAAATGATTTATAATATTCGAACTTAGATTATGGTTTAGGGTTAGGAATGGAGAATCGGATGTAGAATTAATCGTAAAACATAATGTCAAACATAATTCATAACTTTAAATCTTAAAACATAACTGCAACTCTAACTCCAAATCTTGGTCTCAACCCTAATGATAATTTGTTATTAAAATATATCAGTGTGATCTCTGCATATATGAAGATATTTTATGAGTGAAATTATTCATCATACAGTCAACAGGCAACCATTCACCAGTGATAGCATCAATGCTGTGATCGGTAGATGATATTTCGTCTTCATATATCCACCGTGACCTTGTAATGACTTACACCTTTATGTTTGGCTTGACCGTATAATTCAGGTTTACTGGTTCTGTACTTTTCTGAAGTTTGTTCCAGGTGCAGAATTTTTATGATATTTTTTTGACTAAAACAACAACTTCTAATTAGAAATAAATACTAACAACATCGTGAGATTTAAAACACTATTTAACAACAATTGTTTACAGAGTTGAATTCACGAGTCGATCTAAGATGGACCATCACCGAAAATCTGGAAACACTGTACGTCCGTTTAATCCTAGTATGGGACTCCTGAGCAGTGCGCGTACATGATCCCACACGCGTGAATCCAACTGTGAAAGTACTACAATCTCCACAAATCTTCATACTGATAACCATTGTTTAATTGGATGATGTGGTATTTTTACAATGTATAAATTGAAAATGAACATTTCTAGAATTAGAAACCATTTAATGTGATGATAAAAAATTCTTAAACTACTGATGAACTTACTTTGACTGGCATGATTACACTCTACTATTTTCCTAACATGATTGTCCATTAAAATATCTGAAACACTTATTTTTCAACTGCGCAAACATTTCGGTTAACCTTACTGCCTTAGATTTGTTTGAACTGAGCAGTAATGTAAGCTAAACTAAATAGACAAACACTGAGGTAAGATGGTGGTTGGAGGTGGTCAACAGGAAACCCTGGACCCGGGTTTCGTGCTACTTGGCACTCGTCAGCAAAGTGTACCTGTAATCCTGAGGGAACTGATGCTCCCTGGCGGATTCGATCCCGCGTCACTCAGCTTCACAGTCAGAGACGTTACCACTGAGCTATTCGGGCCGCGACCAACCTCCTGTAGGACTGAGATGTAATCACAATAGACAAACAGAAACGTTTACTAATGAAATACTGGTTGAAGATATTGATTGTTAAGAATACTTTTAAAATATGCTATGAATAATTGTAGATTGAATGTACTTTAAAAAGAATGTTTTTGTTTCACTCTTTTACTTAAAATTTTGTCATACAACATAATTTACAGTACTAAACGAAGCTATTGTTAGTGAAATTGTTAGTCGACACTGATTAAAATATGTTCACATGCTGATGACCAACATTCAAGATCTTAAATTAATTTTGATTCATCCTGTCAAGTACTAATCAAGATGGTTTATAAAAAATAAGTAAATCTGTTCATCGTTTCCTATTCAATGACCATTCATATGATTTTAATCTGAAATAAATATTACTTAGGAATTGAATTTTGTTATTATGATTTATCAGTGTATATTTAGAAACATCAAAATAATAGAGGTAATGCTCAAGTTGTCTTAGTCTTGAATGTGCAATGCTCAAGAGTACCATACTAGGAATATAAATGGTTATCCAAGGCTTCTTGATTTTTTAATAATGGTCTAGTTGAAGTTCGTTCGTAATTTCAACCATGAGGATAATTTTTAAGCATTTATTTTGATACCGAGATGTTCATTCAAAACTGAACGATTACACAGTTCAAATATTGATTATTGATGTATTATGTAATAGTTACTGACGCAAGAAATTTTATTGACTAAATATATGAACAAACAACAGTTATAATCAGAATGGGTTTTGTGGAGATTTCAGTATTTTTCAAAGTTGAAATCACGAGTGCAGGATCGTGAATGCACACTGCTGAGGAGTCCCACAATAGGACGAAACGACCGTCCAGTGTTTCCAGGTTTTCCATGATGGTCTAACTTCGATTGACTCATGGTTTCAACTATGAAAACCAACAGTTACTTAAGAAAGAATATTCCTCAGTATAAATGCTTTACATAGAGAGAAACATTGATTTGGAAAACAAACCAAATTAACTCAAATTATTTTCATTCACGTAGTTAAAAGTAAAATATTTTAATAATTCCACATCATACCATCATTTTGTTAATGATTGTTTTACGTAAAACTTTTAATCCTTTATCTGCACATAATTGTTCTCCATTTGATAATAATAAATAAACTCTTAGCCTGTATTCAATGCTACCTCTTGAGCCAACAAATGAACATGGACAAGCTGCAGGTAATTCAAATTCAAATGGATAGTAGCGTTTACCAGCTAAAATAAATTCACAAGTTCCAGGGATACCTGTAATAAATTCAAAGAGGATATAAAGAGGAAAATTTATTTTATTAGAAATTTTGGTTAATATCAGAGAAGTGGTTGTTTTTATTCGTGTATAGCTTATTGACTGACCCAATAACTTAATAGTAATATCTATTACAGTTAAAGGGGAATGAATAAAGGTATGATAATTTAAGAAAGTATGGGGATTTGTTGAAATTCCGCACGTGGGACTCGAACCCAGGGCCTTCGATCTCGCGTGCGGGATCGTGGATGAGCACTGCGCAGTAGTCCCATACTAAGATAAAACGGCCATCCGATGCTCCCAGCTTTTGGATGGTGGTCTAACTTAGATTGACTTGTGAATTCAACTGTTAAAATTTAAGAAAGCATGATCATCTTCAATGTAATAGCTTCTCTTCAATGATATACGGCAAGAAGAACATAAATCAATGACAGAAATGTCTTTTGTTTATCAACATCCATTAATTATAATAAAAAACCCTTTGAAAACGGTAGATTTAAATAATCCAAAGTGAGAAAATACTCAGTTCCATTGTTATACGATGTAAGTCACATGAATGAATAAAATTCCTGCATCTGTACCACATATTATTTGCCATCATTGATCACTCAGTAATAATAAGTGTCTAGTTATTAGCAATTAACAAGTGCTGAAGATAGAGTTACTGCTTAACAGCTCACTAATAACTTTGATTACGTGAAAATTCTCTTTTGGTTGATTAGATTTTCTTCGCTTTATTATGATGCATGTGAACTATTAAGATTTATCCTGACTAAATAGTTGGTAAACACAGTTAAATGAACTTAAACAGTCTTAATAATCCAGAAATCTACCAAATAATGATCACATCGTAATTTAGTCAAATTCATTTTAACAATGGTTATAAGTATCTGAGGCCTTGGCAAACGGTTATTTGCTCAAATTATGTATCTGTTGTATGAATAACTTAATTTGATTCACATTAACCGAACATCCTCCCAATACAATGTAAAAGGCATTGTTTTTTGTGTGTATACTAAATCTAGGACTGATAATTACTTGTATGAGTAAATCAAGTATTCTGAACATTTTCGAAATTTTTACTCATTGTTTTTGACAATAATAACCAGTTATAAAGGTCATTTTCAACAAACGGTTGCTTTAACATATTTAAATTCATCAGCTGACCTCAAATAGACAGACACGTTGGGTTCCGTAACCGAAAGGGGGTGGATGCGAAAGTAATATAAAATCTATATTTTAGGGAAGTGCTTCATAAAAATTCACTAAATATGAATATATATTTACATCGCAGGCCTGAATTAGATCAAAACTAACTAAAACCAGAGATTATCCAATAGTCTGATCAGGTGATTTTATGTCCTTAACATTCAGGAGAAACAGGATGATCATGTGCTGAATCCTGTTTGAGGTCGTGAGTGAAACGTTAAATTAATTTTTATTGCCAAAGGCGTTTTGATAGTTTTTCAGCTGATGTCAACCTATTATGCGCAAAGTATACAAAATTTATATGTTTGAGAACATTCATATCTTGTTTGGCTGCAATGCTTTAGTGGAGCTTAAGTCAATATGTGACATAACGAATAAGAAATAAGACTGATATAAATGTTGATTTGAATAAAGCTCCTTTCTGAAATAAGATGGTTCAATTTTTAAATATAAAGAATGCATGCTACTTTAAATGATCCATGAACTATTACTGTGTTCGATAACTGCAACATTTGTTCTAAACAACTGTCAACTTAATGGAAAATGGTTACGTACTCTAAAAAGTTTCTCAAAAGAATGTTATGAGTAGTAATATTTTACGATAAATGACTTGATAATAAACATCAGTGAGGGGTCAAAATAATCATCGAATCTAAAATTATTTGAAGGGGATTTTGTGGAGATTTTAGTAATTTTATATAGTTGAAATCATGAGTCAATTAAAGATAGACCACTATGGAAAACCTGGAAGCACTAGACGGCCGTTTCGTCCTATTGTGGGACTCCTCAGCAGTGTGCATCCACGATCCCGCCTCGAGAGATTCCAGCCGAAGATCTATTAGTCTCGCGTGCGAGCTCTTTACCACAGACCACTTAGCTGGCATTCACTGGTGTTAATGTCCAATGCTTCCAGGTTTTCCATGGTGATCTAGCTTCAATTGACTCCTGATTTTAACTATAATTTTGTCTTAACAAGATTTAAATCAGTCAATATGGAAATTTCCAAATGCCCGGCAGTTGTGCTCTTTTTATTTACTGAATAACTAGTATATATATATATATATATATATATATATATATAACTCCATAACTGAAGTCTATATTTTGACAAAATAATATTCTTCATGTATATCAATAAAACAAATTGTACAAACAAAGTTAATCATTCACCATTTAATTTCTTTATTTCAGTATACAAATCGATTCATCTAACTTATATCCTTTCTTATATCAAAACAAACGAGTCACTATCATCACCATCATTATCACCATCTATCTCTTTGTTATTATCGAAATTTTGTTTTATTTTTTCTATGTTAATCAAGATACATATGACAAGTTATCGTTTTAGTCTAATAACCGTAAATGATATCAAAAAGAAATTTAAAACAAAAACAAAAAAAGCAAAAAAAAACCGATCAAAGTTTTGATGTTTAGTTATTTGTTTACGCGTGTTTGTGTGTTCATGAAAAATGGAACACGAACTGACGTTAGAATAAACAAACAAATAAATATGTAAATATAACTTTCAAATTGAAAGTGTTCTTTATTTATTTATTTCCATAATTAAAACTTAACTTTATTTATAAGAGAGACAGACAGACATAAAACAAAGTATATTTCAATTCAGATAATAATATTCAACTTTCAAAAAAAAGATTTATCTAAAATGGTTGAAAGCGTGAGTCGATTGAAGCTAGACCACCGTGGAAAACCTGGAAGCACTGGACGGCCGCTTCGTCCTATTGTGGAACTCTTCGGCAGTACGCATCCACGATTCCAGCTCGCGAGATTCGAAGCCAAGACCTAATAGTCACCCGCGCGAGCACTTAACATCTAGACCACTGAGCCGGCATCCGATGGTGGTGATGTCTAAGTACTCTGGAGCGTGACTGGTAGGTCCTGTGTTCGAATCTCGCTAGGCGAGATCGTGGATGCGCACTGCTGAGGAGTCCCACAATGGAACGAAGTGGCCGTCCAGTACATCCAGGTTTTCCATGGTGGTCTAACTTCGATTGACTCACGCTTTGAACTATGAAAATACTAAATCTCCACAAGAACCAATTTTGTTTTAAATGTGATACAATTTAGATAGAAAATAATAATAATTATAAGCCTAACTTAATCTGAACCTAATCATCTCGGTATTAATAAGGGATTAGTATCAGAATATAATTATCGTATGGAAATAGATTAATGGAGAAGTAAGTATATTATAAAGTGTTTCTGAATAAAAATATTCAAAGATGAGTGTAAAATTCAGTTGGAAATTCGACTTTATCAACTGAAGCATTGAAACCTTCAGTCCTATGATAAACACAATAGTATTATGTCATTAAGTAAAAGTGGAATGTTCCATTTATGCTCAGCTTTAAAAAAATATCACGAGGTAAAATAAAGATTATTTCATTCCATAAATTATACAAATTTTACTCAATTCAAAGTTCTTGGTACAACTTCAGGAATCTATATCAAATCTAGTTATCAGTATGTATATACCTTTAATACATAAAAGAACATAGTAGATACTAATAAGTGTTAGAATATACACAAAGCGTGTTTTTTTGTGATCCACTGTATAAACCATTAGTTATCTCAATACAATGGAATATGGAGTAAATATGAATCTGCAAGCGCGATGCTGGTTAGGGTAGATGTATGTTGAAAGAGAGCTTCAAGGTGGGGAAGTCAAAGCATGAGATAAGTCCTGAGTAACAGTTGAACAGAGTTTCGTTGGTAGATCCGAAGTATCTGAATTGGGTCTTCGCGATTATCATAACCAATAGTTAGAGAGGTTATGAGACGTAGTTCAGAGAAGGTTACAATAACCCAGATGCGTTCACTCTTTATTTTCTCTTAGGTTTTCAGTCCTAAAATTATCGTATACTTTTTGTATTCCAGTGATTCATTATTTCTTCTGGGAACATAATGTTTACGTTCAGTCTTTTCTATTGACAGTGATATTATTATTAATTCTACCAATCTAGTATTTGTTTTGAAGATTTCGTCCTTCTGTGCTGAAATGATGGGGAAACTTAAACCGATGTACATATGTGCAAGGTTTTATTTTGCTTATCACTGACTGGCTAGTTTATATACAAAAGTAACTTATTATCAGTATTTGGTTCGAAAATAGATCACATTACAAACCGATTTAGTGGCAGGAATAAGTGTTGACCAATCTAATAAAACTAAACTGTACACGAAGAAATTAATCCACTACAGTTAATAAAATATTACATTGAAGCTACAGTTTCCTAAAATTAGAGATTTTCGTGTACTTAATTTATTGTTACGAAGTAATGCTAATTACCATACTTGATCTGTTATGATATGATATTTTAAACCAGTTTTTAAAAGAAAACTTACATTACATTCATTCGATAAAATTATCCTAGACATACTTCAACTTATAGTAAGTGACATGCTGTCAATGAAACTTATTTGAAATCAATAAACTTCTACTCCAATGACATTATATTTTTCTGATTATGGGCAATATGATGTTACAAACTATAAGATAATTCATTATTGTATTGGTCGTTTGAATCATTCCATTGATGTTTAGGACTACAATTGACCAGTATCTTATTGGCATATTTGAATTCTGTGCGGATTGCCTAGATATTGTCAGTATGGCACAAGCATTATAAGCTGAGATGGACGGTGGCTAACATTGGAATCTAGGAAGCGTGTTCCGTCCTATTTTCGACTTGTCAGCACTTATGCCAATAAGAGACTGATCAATTGCAGTGCTAAACGTCAACGGGAAGATTCAAACAACCAATACACAAATGAATTAAACTTCAGCCCATTTCACAAACCAATGGCTATCTAAATTCAGTAACCACAGTTCATCTCTGCTAATAAACTATAAAATAGATTAACAATTAAAAATGTTAGCCCTTTGTGTTGAATCAATCTTGTGCTAATATTTAATTGACATTTACTTATTAGGTAAATTAATCAATGTATCAGATGCTACTTTCTAAAGCATGTTATGCAAATATTATATGGGTGAAAAGTATTGCACTACGCATGTGTTCAATCCTTACTTGTTAATTTTAACTAAAAAGACTTCCAACATTTACACAACTACAAAAATCATTTCATTAAACAGATTTATGGATTAAACTGGAATTGTACTAAAGAAAATGAATTCAGTGAAGCAATACTAACAAATGTATCAGAACAACATACATTCATTTATTACATTAATTCTTTCAACTGTTTAATTTTGTTCTTACTTGCCAAAGCACAAAAATTAGAAGGACAGAAAAAAGAGTTACCGTTCTCAACCGCAAGCATATTATACGAAAAAATGACAACTAGGAGGTCGGTATACTATCGGTAAATAGAAAGCTCATCATCAATTTGATAGTGAACAAGATGGTTTCATTTTTTAATTGTTTAAAATTGTTGATAAACAAACTGAATTTTATATCTAGATGTGACATTTTAACGTGAATATAATTGTAAACAGCCGATAAAAAAACCACGAAATAAAAACGAATTCATGTTGTTGTGTCTCAAACGTTGTTTTGGTTTTATTCAAATTTGTGAACGGAATCAATGGTATAAAGTCATTCAATATACTAGTACATTAACAATGTTATCATTCTGTATAAATACCTATCATACATTCATTTATTTGAAGCTTAAACATTTTCAAATCATGATGTAAATTAAGGTGATTGTTAAAGTGGGATATAAAATGTATGACCAATTTAGGTACATTTCAAATTTGGGAATACACAGATTCTAACAAGCAATGGAACCTAGAACCCTCATTTCTTCCTACACGGGACTCGTCATCTTGAAGTACCGCTATTTCAGTCTTGGTATTAACTCTAGGATTGTAACGCATTACCTTTCACTTCAAATTCATAAAACGTCATGAACCAAGATACTTAGTTCAGAGAGTTACTAACTCATTTATTGAGTGTAATGTTAATACCATTAGTATGAAGGATTTGAGTTAACCCATTGTTCGTATTATGGACTGAATTTTGTCCAGTCTTTTTCAGCATAAGTACATTATGCTAATAGTCCCAACCAATATATTGCAAATAACTCATAACATAAAGAGTATGTACAAGCAATCCTCATAGTAATATATTTGATTTAGTCACAAGATGTATCAATTGCAATACCGATTATTGTATTGACTTAAGAGGTTTATTTTCATTGTTTCCAAAAATTACTGATTTTCATAAAATCTCAAACACAATTCAACATACCTCCTCCAATTAAAGTTGAATTCATGGAACAATAGATTTCTTCGTTAACAGTTTGAAATGTCGGTATAAGTTTATTAAATCCTTTCATAGATTTACATTTTAAACGTGTTTGTAATATTTCAGGATCTACTGGTCCATTTATACCCGATATAACACAACCTACGCCTTGATAAAACGGAAATTTTTGTTGTAAAGATTTTCTTTCTTTTGTCCAACCTTTTATAAAATGTTTAGGATAGAATATCTTCTTGTATGGTGTGACAACAACTCCTCTTCCAAGCAGTTCCACTTGCAAAACTGAAGTATGATAAACAAGTAGAGATTTTCAATTTTTCACAATAAAAATTGTGGATCTAAATAAGCATAAACATTAATAGCATATTGTTTAAAGCTAAATATTTTTATTTTCCAAGACTGAATACAGATTTAATTATATATATATATATATATATATATATATATATATATGATGATGATGATGATGATGATGATGATGATGATGATGATGATGATGATGATGATGATGATGATGATGATGATGATGATGATGATGATGATGATGATGATGATGATGATGATGATGATGAAAAACCCATTGAAAAGACATTTTCTCGTGTTATCACTCGCTTTACTAAATGTCAACGTAGGAATTTTTACTATGACTAAATACAAGTTCAAACGAACATAAATGATAGTTAGGATTAAAGGAGAGAAAGATAATATGACACAGTAATTGCAGATTGCCATTCCATCTTAGGCCTTAAAATAGATGTATATTTGCTAGTGCATATTCGGGCTTAGAACAAATTGTTTTTTGACTGTGTTAAGAGGATCTGAGCTTACTGGTAAACGAGACTTCTATAAAGTTAAATAAGCGTTTTTGACCACTTTTATTTAAAGATTGAAAGCTGTTTTAAGACCAACCTTATGACCTGTTTCAGTTGTAAGTTTCGTTAACATGGAGCATGATTTTCTTAACCGTACTTTTAACGGGGCACTTAACGCTAACTGATCATAAGACTTTCTATGTACATGTTATATCATTCTTGACTGTAGTGTTCCACTACTGTTCCACATGTACTTGTGTCTACGCACTTATGTACACACATATATTTGCAGTTTAAGGCCTTGGATGGTATGAATTCTGATAATTTCCAATTTTATGTAGTTTTTTCCCTATCTTATTTTGAATTATCGCTTTCTTTTTTCCTACCGCGACCTTTATAAGTTTTAGTGAGTTGAATAGTATGTATCATCATATTGTTCGAAAAATATGGTATAAATACATAACATTTTTTAAAATAAAATCCATCCCTCACTTTGCAAACTGAAAATTTGTAAAAGGACACTGATCATTTATTATTCTTTATTTCCTTAGTTGTCAGTGATTTTTCCCATACAATTTAAATATGAAGTGGGGAAAATTTTTTGTAAGCTGTAAATAACTGCATTATCTGTGCCTACTGTCTGATGATTACGTATAATAAACTGGAGATAAGTACACAGTTTTTCTTACAGCAAATAAGAATTTCAGAAATTAAATAGAACTTATGATGAAAATATGCCAAACGTTTATGAAAGCACCGTTTAACTGCACAAAAATATGAATTTCCAACTGTACATTCAGCATAAATCGTGTCTCCTTGGATTATTAATGTTATACATCCAGATAGACATTAAGTTGAAGATACAAAATCATGAATATAACTGTATTCAAAATGATGCGTTTTAAAATCGAACGAAACAAAAATAAAAGATTTCCTCAACAGACATCATCAACAACATAATACTAACAATTTGATCAAGTTATTGGGGAAATACAAATTTCTTATAATCATGAACAATATACAATATTAAAATCTGAATTCATGTGCCAATCTAAGCTAAATCACCACTGAAAATCTGAAAGCACTGGATGGCCGCTTCGTCCTGGTATGGGACTCTTCGGCAGCGAGTATCCTCGATCTCGCAAGCGGGAGTCGAACCGAGGACTTTTTGTCTCGCGCTTAAACGTTTAACCTCTAGAACAATAAGCCAGCAACCAACGGTGTTAATGTCTAGCTTCAATCCATCCATGACCTTCCACAATCCTTCATCCATTGTCTGAGACGGATCGTGGATGAGCACTGTTCAGGAGTCCCATACTAGGACGACACGCCTGTCCAGTTCTTCCAGTTTTTTAGTGGTGATCTTACTTGCATTGGCTCATCAATTCAACTATTAAAATCACTGCAAACTCCATAAATCCTCATTCTTATAATATACAATATGTTTATAACAATAATAAATATAACAGTTACTTACTTTGAATACTTAAAGCTTCTTTAGTTTCTAGATAAACGTAACCATGAATTAATTGTCCACTAAAACATACCGGTAGAATAGATGAATCTAAAATAATATCTAAGTGAATACGTTTTTTCAATTCAGTCATATTTACATCTTTATATGTAATATATGTATTCGACATTTCAAATTAGTTTTCCTATAATTTAATCACAATGCAATGGAAATGTAAAAGTTTAAATATTTGAAAAGTTAACCGCTGTTGTTGTTTTTTTTTGAACGAATTTCAACTTAATGTTTATAGTTTCTTTCTAGCATATTGTTTAAGTAGCTGAATATTGATGATTGAACATACATTTTGCAAGCATGATTTGATGTCATCATTGAAATGGAATCATCAAATGTTAAGAGTAAAGTGGAAAAGTTCAAATTCATATGTATGATTGAATGCAGTGTAAGTATTAAACTACTCTCAATAAGAGAGTATTAGTAAAAAAAAAACAGTTTACTCTTTATATACCTTCATTGAAAGTTGAATTTTAACACTTTTATTGAATCAAAACAATATTAGTAAGCATAAATATGAATTGAAAGTCAGATACTCATTTTTATTGGTTATATTTGTTCATTAGAATCACACATTATCTTCATTATGATTTAGTTGGATAATAATAATAGTAATAATAATAATTATTATTATTATTATTATTTATATCGGATTACATTACTGATTATAAGTATCTAATTAGAAAAGGAAATAGAACCATTGATTAAAGCTTTAACTAGCTTTATGTGTATGATTTGGATTTTTAAAAAACTTGACTACAATAGATATCAAGTTCAGTAGAAAAACAGATTGTGTAATATAAGGATGTTCATATTACTCAAACACATAATACAGTTGTAAATAATTCAGTGCTGTTTATGTTAGTTAACAAGACGGTTGTATGATGTGTTGTGATCAACAATATACTACTACTACTACATATACATATATTCGATACTGGTTGTCTGGATTGATATTATTATTTATGTTAACATGGTTATATACATATACAATAATCAATGTACCTATAACACTCAGAACATTTCATTAGGATGGTAACAACAAAAACCTATTTACATACCTATATGCAAACATACACAAACTGAAACGATATTGACCAAGTTCACGTTTACTAGAAAAAAAACACCACCACCACCAACAACAACATAACATTGAACACAATATTCCACTGAAGGTTTTTTTTGTGCACAAAATCAATAGAACTAATGAAATGAGTTGTTAACAATATAAATCACTCATGTACACCTAACTGAATGTATCATGTGTTTTTATTTAATGTATATTCATTGTCATTTAATGTTACTCTTGTTTTTACTCTTTTTTTTCAAGGTTTCTAATCAAAAACTTAGTCCTAAATACTAAAAATGACTAAGTGCTTCCAAAAACATTTTGACTTTATTACTTACTTTCAAAGTAATACCTTAATGTAGTTTAGAGAAAGAAAAAAAAAGAAAGAAAGAATGCTCAAGTTTGTTTAGTTGTCTTGAGTTTTCACCAATTTCTTTCTTGTTAAGATGAATGATAAACGTGTTTACAGTTATTATTAAATTTTAGGGTTAACTAAATAAAAAGAATAAAATATCGTAATACTTAAGGTGAAATTTAGTCATGTAATGTATAAGTAAAAAATGTATGGTACAAGTTATATTATCTTTATTTGTCACAGATTGAACACAATTTGAGTGACCTGCTTTTAAATATGAAACAAGAACTGAAGTATGAACATTTGGGTGAATTATTCTTGGTGGTTTCTCAGAATTGGGTCAGATAACAGGATACTATTAAATGCTGTGTGACCGTTTGGTGTAGAAATTAAGACTATCCAGAGTTATGTGGATGGTACGGTGTAATGATGAAAAATCTATCAATGAGAATGTGAATCGTGATCAACTGAAGTGGTTGGGAGGAAATCTAGGAGAGACCAAAAGCAAGACATAATATTAGTTCATGAAACCATTGACTACTAGTGTGAGACTTAGGATTAAATTCAGACTACTTCATTGGCGTCTCTGGGAATAACATAACTGGTAGTTGGTTGGAATAGTTAAGGATCAGTTTCATTGGAGTAGATGCAGCCATTTCATCCTTCTGTGCCGATATGGTGTGACAGCTTGAGTCGAAGTACGTATGTTTCAGGTTCTATATTGCTTATGACTGACTGAAATAAATAAAAAACAGTTAGACTACTAAGAACAAAAACCCTTTTTCTCAATTATTTGTTGAAACATAGAGCTCATTCAACTTCAGTAAGTGATAGAATAATAAAATTTTACTTCAAGATACAAGAGTTTCATTAGTTCTGTTTTAAATATGTTTACATGTACTCCTCATAATTATTTAATTAATATAATATTTATGAATTTTATAGTTTAATTTGTTAGTCAATTGAAGCTAGACCACGGTGGAAAACCTGGAAGCACTGGATGGCCACTTCGTCCTATTGTGGGACTCCTCAGCAGCGCGCATCAACGACCTCACCTGACGAGATTCGAACCCGGGACCTATCAGCTTCGCGCGCGAGCGCTTAACCTCTAGACCACTGAGCCGGCATCCATGGTGGTCTAGCTTTAATTGACTCATGAATTCAACCATAAAATTACTAAAATCTCCACAAAACCCCTTCTGATAATAATAATAATAATAATAATGAACTGAATAAATTCGTGAACACACTATTTGTTAATAAAATAACTAATAAAATAATAAAATACAGAATAACTTTCCATACATTGATATATAAAATTTCATATTCTAGAACTCTATGGAAAACTACGGGTATAATTTATCATCAAATATAAAACAAACTTTGTTGTCACAGTTAGATTTCCTTTACATCAATACTAAATCATGTGATACAACGATTAAAAACCGATTGAAATCACACAGCTGTTTTATTTGAATATGGTGCTTCTCAACAATGTGTGACCTTAATCTTACTATATTTCAAACCCTGGATATTCAGATATCGCGTTGAGCGATTAACGTTTAAACCAACAGGCTATTATTTTACGCTTTGCATTTCAAATTTCATTTATCCATAACGTTGCACTATCGATTCTACTTATCCTATCCCTCACTCAGATCACGGCTTCTCATTAGAAACTCAGGAAAACATCTTAAAATTAGACACTAGTGAGTACACGACTTTTATTCATAGTACGATTAGTTTGTAGAGATTGATCACTTTGTTGTTTATAAATTACATTGATTACAAAACTGTTCATCAACATCAACTATACGGAACCTAAAAAAATAAAAAAATAAATTTACCTATTCATCAATTTTCTCTTTAAATATTTACAAATGAATATTGTTTCGTTACAATTTTATTAATTGAGTATTGGTAAAATGAAAACAAAAAAATTAGTTATTGTTGCTAAGAGATGTATATGTGAATATAATTTAATGTTCAAAGTCAGCTCATATAGTTTGTTTATCTTTGTTTTAATGTGATTGTAATCAGTGCCTACATTAATGCTCATTTCAAAATGTGTGTTTTTTTGTTTTTCAAAGATAGTTCAACATTTCACATTCTACATCTTCTTCATACTTCTATACTTACTGTAATCATGTAAGAACTTTATCTCTTTCCAATAGTTTTTCGTTATTCTCTTCGAGTTATGGGAAAAATTGATTATATAAGTTTTGAAATTCTTGCCAAGTCATTATTGGATGTTACATTAGTTTAGGCTTATTGTAGAAAATTTCTTAACAGTTATTACTGAACTTAGTTATTTATTAAAAACAAAAACACCATACTCTTCCAAAATATACACAAATGTTGATACTTTGCCTTTAAATGAAACTTTAAATAACTTATTTTACTTTGCTTAGTATTGTTTGTTTGAATCTTCCCATTAATGTTTAGGACTGCAACTCGTCAGTCTCTTATTGGCATATGTGCATACTGTGCGTATTGCCTCGATATAGTCTTAACTCACAAGCATTATAATCAAAAATGGATAGTGGCTAGCAGTAAAATCCAGGACACGCGTTTCGTCCTATTCGGGACTCGTCAGCTGGATGTACCCGCATCTCAGAGTTGATGATCGCTCGGTGACTCGAACCCAGTACCGTTTGCTTCAAACGCGTTATCCATTCAGCGAACGGTATTGGGTTTGAGTCCCAGAGTGAATATCAACTCTGAGATGCAGGTATATCCAGCTGACGAGTCCCGAATAGGACGAAACGCGTGTCCTGGATTCCACTGCTAGCCACTATCCATCTCTGCTTAATTTACTTCGGTTTAAGTCATTCGGTATAGGATTATCAAGTTAAATTTATCCTTGCTGAATTTTTGACTAAGACATTGTTATCAGTTGATGAGAGAACGTGTAATGAATTGAATTCGTATTTTATCGAAATAATCACAGATTTCATTTGGTTGTGGGTTAGCAGACCGACCACTTGTATTTGAATGTAAGTCAGTTAATTGTTTATGATATATAATTGGTTTTAAAAAAATTACTATGAGGGTTCATATGAACTTAACAGTGTTTAATATGAGATACTGTTTAACTGAAAAAAAACTATTTGATATAATCGCTACTAATACCATTGTTACATAATTATTTTAACATTTTAGTCAGTGGTCAAAGTTTCTCATAAACATTACAGTTGTCATTGCTGAGAATATAATAAAAGGAGAGTTAGTCTAAGTTTTGATTTGAAATTTTTAATAATTTTATAACATATATACAGTTACTTGAACGAAACTGATTTCAAAATCGATTGATCACTAGTCCAGGTGGCTCGACACTGCGTGCATTGAATTGATCGATAGCATTCGATCAGCACTAAGAAGGACTTGACACGCATGACATTGATCACCATCCAGTGATCAATCGATTGTGATTACATCTCAGTCCTAGAGGAGGTCAGTCGCGGTCCGAGTAGCTCAGTGGTAACGTCTCTGACTGTGAAGCTGAGTGACACGGGATCGCATCAGTGAGGGAGCACTAGTTCCCTCAAGATTACAAGTACACCTTGCTGACGAGTGCCAAATAGCACGAAACCCGGGTCCAGGGGACTGATTTCACTTAACATTGAATTGAATAAAAGACTGATAACTGTTATTGGCAAACTATTTACTGTGATCGCTAAACAACCGATGTCTGCTACTTATTGCAACGAAACAAGACTGGTACTATAATGCGGAGAAGAGAAATAATGCTTTAGAAAAAGGTTGATTTATTTAACAGCACTGGCGGTGATAATGATATATTACATATTTTAAATGTTCGACCAATAAATATATCTGAATGACCTGACAGTTGATCGACAGTTTAATATGTGTATGTAATTTATAATGTAATCTATCAGCTGACTGGTTTGAGAAATATAATTCATATTTGAGTTATACATTGATTTATTTGTTTTGATGGAGTTTTGTACTCTGAGCTGGATGGTTTGGTCGTGGAGCTTTCATCGTCCTTCTGAACGACATCAACACAAACTTCTGGTAGAAGTGAAGTGTTTGTTTTACAATGTCTCTTTGGCTAAATATGTGTGAAACACAAATCATTCCAATCTCCCTATTTGTGAGGGAATTTTGTGGAAGCCGCTATAGAAAAATTTGGCACAAAAACCTCAAAATTTCCCCATAATTTTCGACAACTTTGGGG